ATGCCATGGTGTCACCAGCCCTGGGTGGGAGTGCAGGCCACCCCAATCTGTATGGCCCTGGAGATAGCATGACCCTCAGGCACCAACATGGCCCCAGGTGATCGTGCATGTTCTTAACTGCTGAACCATCTCTCTGGACCCACTACTAGTGACCCCTCCCCTTCTCCCCACTTCTCACCTCCCCCCACCCTGGTTGTTTTTGTTTGTTTGTTTTTGTTTTTCAAGTCAGGGTTTCTCTGTGTAGCTCTGGCTGTCCTGAAACTTGTTCTGTACATCAGGCTGGCCTTGAATTCTGAGATATATTTGCCTAACATCTCCCAAGTGAAGGTATGTGTAGCTGCCACTACCACCTGGCCTACTATAAGTGATCTTGACAGTGGTATTCTCTTCATTTTTGTGGTTGTCAAGCATTCTGTAGTTATAACCATTCATTTCTGTGACACACAAAATAGTGCCAAAGGAAATGCCTAAAAATCTGCAAGTTAAAAACAGTAAAATTAAGCCAGACATTGGTGGCACACACCTTTAATCCCAGCACTAGGGAGGAAGAGGTAGGTGGATCTCTGTGACTTCAGGGTCAGCTTGGACTACAGAGTGAGTTCCAGGGCAGCCAGAGCTGTAACAAGAGAAACCCTGTCTTAAAAAACAAACAAAACAGTAAATTTAATGCTTTCATATACCCAATTTTATGTTTAAATTCACCCTTATTTTCTACTAACAATAAATATAGTTAGTGCAAATCTCTCCACTTAGCAGATAATGCAATTGAGACAAGTGCTTTCATTAGACAGCTAATAATCCACAGCACTGGGGATAAAGCCAGCCTCATTGTCATAATGTGCTTCTTTCCCCCAAATTTTCCATCTCTCTCTGTGAATACACCATCCTTCCTTATCATCCCTATTTATGCCCGAGTAGCTCAGACAGTGTTTCAAGATCTAAGTAGCTGTGAGAAAGGGAAAGCTGGCTTCCCCAAGTAGAAAAAGACCTGAGTTCTAATTTTTATCTTGCCCTGCAATTAGCTGCATGATTTTGGACACCTTGCTTAAATCACAGGGGCCTGATTTTCTATCCTGCAAAATGTGTATAATGAGAAATGCTCACTTGGAACATCGGTCTGAGCATGCAATGAGACAGGAGACACTAAGGGATGGCTTCACCTCCACTGTGTACTCCCGATGAGGGGGCAGAAGACCCCCAAGGTTCCTTCAAACTCAAACTCGTAAAATTAGAGAGCTGTACTTGGGAAAGATCTGTAGGAGCATTGTCTATCTGGAATTTCTCTGGCTGTCAAATAATCCCTACCAGTTCTCAGAAATCTTCTAAGCAACAATCACAGAAAGTCACAAATAAAGTCAACTTGTGCCACAATAGGGAATTAAATGCAGAAGAGTGAAGGAAAGTTCCAAACTTGCTACAGTGTGTGGAAATGGAGATAAAGTGAATTTTAAGGAGAAGGGAAGGAAAGGCAATCCAGTGGAGAGCTTGCAAATTCGTAGACTTGGAGGCTACAGCCTGTGTGGGGAGACAAATAGATGCAGAACCAGGACAGAGGCAGCTTATGAAGAAACAATTTGACTACTATGAAGGGCTTGCAGCTTAATGTTTAAACCAGGGAGCGATCTACTAAAATTTGTGAATGTTTTAAATTACTTTTAACCGCAGTGAGGGAGATGATGTGAAGGAGGAGAGTTGAGAGATTATAGCAATAATCCAAACAGTGGTGACAATGAAATCCAAAAGGGTGTACTGGGAGATGGATAGGTCTTAATGACTGTTTGCATGTTGGGTGTGGGCATGCAATTCAGAGAGGAGGAAGCCATAGATGACTGTGACCCAGATAGAAAATGCAAGGGGAGCAGGATTAGGGTGAGAGCTGCTGAATTATTCAATCCTCAGGTGGAGAAACCAGAAAGGTAGACCCAGCAGATCCATGGATACTTACAGTCCTGAATCTAGAAAGTGGGCGAGTCCAGAATCTGTGTGCAAGTGGTCAGCGGACTGATGGGTGGGTCGCCCTGTTCCTGACCATTACAAGCGATGTCTGCCTAGTCTGCTGTCACAGTCTGACAATTATCAGCGATGTCTGCCAAGTCTGCTGTCACAGTGTACTGGTTCTGAGCTGCATCAGAGACCCACTAAGTCATCGTGTACAGGCTGAGGTGTGAGCCTGCACATCTTCACAAGACCATCTTTTCTCTAAGAGAAAGTGTCCTCTGCAATTCGAATAAAAGTGGTAGATCACTAATCGCCTATAGAAATATAATGTGAGCTACTTGTGCAACTTCAGTTTCTTTTTCCTTTTTTTTTTTTTTTTTTTTTTTTTTTGCTTTTTACTTTTTGTTTTTTCGAGACAGGGTTTCTCGGTATAACAGTCCTGCTTGTCCTGGAACTTTCTTGGTAGACCAGGCTGGCCTCAAACTCACTGAGATTTGCCTGCCTCTGCCTCCCAAGTCCTGCGATCAAAGGAGTGCGCCACTAACTTCAGTTTTTCTAATTGCCATATATTTTCAAAGTAAAAAGAAAGGTAAAATCAATTTTAATAATAATTACAGTTCAACATATATAAAATATAATTTCATCTTTAATTAACAGAATTATTAAATAGAGCTGGTCAACATTCTTCTTGTCACTGTAAGTCGTCACAATCAAGTATGAATTTCAGTCTTTTACTCCCCTCAGGTGAGGCGACAGCTTACAAAGTTTTCGGTAGCCACATGGAACAGTGACACTGTATCGGATGCAGCCATAGACCACCACTCTCCTGCCCTGAAAACTACAAAGATTTAGGAAAGTGTCTGGCCATCATGGAACTTTTCAGAACTCACCAGGCACATCTGCACTTGGTTAAGAACACCGGCTTCTAGGGCCCTGTTGTTAGAGTCTAATTCCAGAAATAGATGACACTCTTCAGTGCTGTAAGGCTTCCCTTTTAATACCTTGCCCATGTCAAATGTGAAATAATGTACCCCGTGTAAGGATAAGAACTCATTCTTGCACATAAAAAAAGGATCAGACAAATCTTTTTGTTTTGCAACCCGACAGTGGATGATCTACTAAAAGGAGGATTTGGGCATTTTCTGGGAGACAGGGTTGCTTACAGAATTATTTTGTTAACCCTGTGGAGATTGTTTCTGGGCTGGGCAGAACAAAGAGTTACATGCAACATTTCCTGGATAGACAACTTTAAATGGAATTTTTAATTCAGCAATTTATTTTCATTGAGTTTGGTGACTTCCTTTCCCTATGCTGGTTCATATACATATTTCAGAGGCATGCCGTTAGACCCTATTCCTTCCCAACCCCTACATGTGGACTCTTTAAAGACTGTCCCCTCTAAAGAGTACTTCTCTTGGGGTCTTGGACAGAATTATTTTTAGAGGCAGCATCACATTGTATGTAAAATAATGACCCTTCCTGTAATTGGCCTGTTGGCGTGGTTCAGTTGTGGTCTTACATAATTATAGACCTGTGACAACGGTCTAAGGGCCATCAGCATATTTCCAAGGCTTCTAAATCAAGGGCGTGTGGTTAATTGCTCACAGGTGTTTTCTGGTGCTTATGAGTACATGCAGTCTTGAGTTTCATAAAATTTTGGCAGGAAGAGGGGGCAGGGGTGAGGAGTTTCTTAGATCCACTCAGACAACTAATGAGATGACAAAGGGAGCGCTCTCCTCCCTCAAGAGCAAACATTTGGAGTATGACAGAGGACAGATGTGTGGGTCTAAAAGGAAAAGAAAGGAAACAGGAAATTGTCAACCCAGGGCTGCTTACTATTGCGACCCAGCCCTGCTTGGTGAGATAGGTCAGCACAGGGAGGTAGTACCAAATCTCTCTCTCTCTCTCCCTCCCTCCCTCCCTCCCTCCCTCCCTCCCTCCCTCCCTCCCTCCCTCCCTCCCTCCCTCCCTCCCTCCCTCCCTCCCCTCCCTCCCTCCCTCCCCCCTCTCCTTTCTTTTTAGTTTTTATTTTCTTTCTTTCTTTCTTTCTTTTTTTTTTTTTTTTTTTTTGGTTTTTCGAGACGGGGTTTTTCTGTATTGTTTTGGAGGCTGTCCTGGAACTAGCTCTGTAGACCAGGCTGGCCTTGAACTCACAGAGATCTGCCTTCCTCTGCCTCTGCTTCCCGAGTGCTGGAATTAAAGGCATGCACCACAACCGCCTGGCTCTGTCTTAGTTTTTCAAGACAGGGTTTTACTATATATACCTGGTTGTCCTGGAACTCACTGTGTAGACAAGGCTGGCCTTGAATTCACAGAGATCCACCTGCCTCTGCCTCCTGAGTGCTAGGATTAGAGGTTGCATCAGCACTGCCCAACTAAGAATTTTAATGACTAATACTATGAAGTCATCTTGTGTTGATCCTCCTTTCTTCTGACTACTGCTGGTCATTGTGGAGGCAATGACCTTGGAGACGGCAGAAATATTGGTGAGAAGAATTATATGTTAAATTTGTGTAAGAGTTTGTCTTTAAAAAGTAAATGTGTCATTATCTTGTGACATGGTATAAAACTCCAAAAAATGTCCTACTTGAGTTCTGTAGCCCTTGTTTGCTCGAATTAGAGAGTGAGAGCCTGAACAAATAAAACTCATTGGTTGCCAGGCAGACCACATCATTCTGCTCAGGTAGAGAACTGTTCCTGCAATGCTGCTCAACAAGCATAGACTGAACACCTACAGTGAGCCAGGTACCAGTGTCAACAAAGATGAAGACTGCATAGTTCCTGCCCTCAGGGAGCATCGTACATTTGAAGAAGAAGGAAAAATAGATTACTCCAACTGCAGGTGCCAAGTGACGCAGCCAGCAAATTTAGAAACATTTCATGAAGAGTGTGACAATAGAGCCAAGCCCATTGAGTTCTGAGAGACTGGTAAGACTTAGCCAAACTATGAAAGTCTTGAACTCCAGAGAGAAGACAACAGAAGTGAGATTGGGACACAGGTGGAGAAATGGCACACTCTAGGATTACCCTTCTAGAGATGGAGGAGACTTTAGCTTACTTACGATTTGGAGGGCAAGACTTGGTCCTGAAGAAGAGATTCAATACACGGAAGATACGGGTAAAAAGAGCATAGGCAGAGCGTGTTTGCCGCAGAGCAGGGGCTGCCTGGGGAAGGAAGCAGAGCAGGGTGAGTCTGGATACAGAGCAGCTTGGAGAGGACTCGGGGATGAGGTGGCTGTGCTTTACGGCCATACATCTTCTGGTGAATTATAAAGTGTTGTTATTTGTTGAAAGACATAGTTTAGTCCTCAGCTATACACTGAAATTATCTTGTGATCTTAATTAAAAAATCAATGCTTGGGCCAGCGAAATGACTCGGCAGAGGCCACCAAGCCTGATGACCCGAGTTTTATCTCCAGGATATCCACATTGGAAGAAGAGAACTCACTCCCATGAGCTGTCCCCTGATCTCCACATACAAATAAGAGTAATTTTAAAAGAATGATGCTTAGATCTGATGCCAGTGGATTCAATTTAGTTTATCTTGGGTAACAACCTAGGAAAGAACTTTTTAAAGGGCTTGGGGTGATTTGACTAAGATGTTAAAAATTAGAACTACTGATTTAAATTTAAGGGATTGGGAGTGCAACGGAGGTTTGGTATCGATGCTCAGGGAGGTGGGTGATGAGAAAAGGAACAGGGCATAGGTAATGTAAACCATGAGTCAACCTCAAAGACATAGTAAGTCTTGGGATAACAAATGTGGAAGATCCCCAATGTACACGGTAGCAATACTATACCAGCAGAGTTTCAAAGTGGGCTTTGATGGTTACTAAGGTAGTGGTAGAAAAGGACACACATATAGAGGCATGAGTAGCCAAGTCATTTCCATTCAGTCTAGGCCACGCTCAGAAATGCTGAGACAGGAAGCTGCCCAGGCCAATCCCACCACAATCCCATATCTGGGCTAGTAGATGTTCTACCAAACAGGACTCTGGGTCAGAAAGAGAAGCGAGTAAATAAGCCACAAAGAGATGCAAAGGAACCAGCTACCCCACTACCTACATTATTAGCTGCTGAATAACCTAGAGGTGGTTTGTGTGTACTTACTGTAAGTACGTATGATGTCGTAACATCAAGAACTGCATAGTATCCTCACCTCCTTTTGGTCATGAAATAAAGCAACAGGACCTGTTTATGATGAGTCTGACTTTCCCAAGTGTCACAGAAGCCACACTCAAACCTTAGGAGGGCTCTGTGGTAGCCCTCTTGCATTCCTGGGGACAGGCACACTGCTCTTAACTAAAGCAGTGACTTCCTATTGAACTGCTTTGCATTGTACACAGTGAGTCATTGTTCTGGCAGAAGTCCCTGCTCTCCACACACATTCTGACCTACCTTTGGAATGTGGGAACACTGACCTTATATTTGATAGCCTGACAGAAAAGTGGCTCCATCAGAGATCTCATGACTGGACAGCAGACAGACAGAGGGAAAGGAAGAGAAGGGGAGGAGGAGGGAGCAGGAAGAGGTAGGTAGGAGTCAGAGAGAGAAAAAGGGAACGCTGGTAAAGACAGGCCTGGAGTTATTCTATAACCTGGAATATTGCTCAATATGGGAAATCTAACTATGCAATGCTCAGTGTGTCACAACTACACTTCAGTGGGATAACCAACAGGAATATGCATTATATTATGACATATATTTAAATAGACCTACTACTGCATGTATGCCTGAGACCTTGGGTTAGTTATTTAAGCTCTCTCTATACGTCTAGCTTCCCTATGTGTAAAAAACAGTCTGGAGTGGTGGTGCATACCTTTGATCCCAGTATTTGATAGGCAGAAGCAAGTGGGTCTTTATGAGTTTGAGGCCAGCCTGGTCTACAGAGTGGGTTCTAGGATAGCCAGGGCTATGTCTCAAAATCAAATAAACAAACAAACACCGACATGGATAGATAAACCATTGCCAACTTTATGGAGTTGCTGGAAGGACTGCATGGTTAGACAGACCTGGAACATAGGCACAACAAACTCTTTAGAGAGGATTCTCAATGTTTCAGACACAAAGAAATTACTTCAGAGCTGGGTGGTGGTTATGGCACCCCTTTAATCTTGAGGACTTGGGAGAAGAGGTGGGCAGACCTCTGTGAGTTCGAGTCCAAATTGATCTCCAGAGAGAGTTCCAGGACAGGCTCCAAAGCTACACAGAGAAACCCTGTCTCAAAAAACAAAACAGAACAAAACATTGTTTCAGAAATGTATGTCTTAAGTGACAGAGGTGTCAGCTATGCTGATATGATCATTTTATATTATATTCTTAACACTGAACTGCTACACTAGACCTCATAATTATTATTAATTCCTGTGTCAGTTAACATATATTAGCAAATATAAGAGAGCAATAATAGCCATTGTTATTGTTATTTCCTGTGTGCTGAATTTGAGAAACTTAAACCCCCTTTTCTCACTTCTTATACTTGTGAAGATCTGTCTTATTAGTTATCAAAGAACAAAAATCACCTGGTGATTTTGTAAGTGAATTTAGTGATATTAGGATAGTCATGCTTGTTAGACTAACACATGCAACTTTCAAATGCATGACATTAATTATCTACTTTTCCTAAGAAATTGATAGGACATTTATTATATGCCTACATTGAGTTGAAACATACAAGGTGTTTGGAGACCATGCATAAAATTATATATAATATAAAGACAACAACAAAATATGTTAGTGTGGTATAGTACATTAAAATATAATATACACATTTGCAAGAGGTTTTTGAGACAGCTCTGACTGTCTTGGAAATCACTATGTAGAACTAGGACTCACAGTGATCCACCTGCCTCTACCTTCCAAGTGCTGGGATTAAAGGAGTGTGTCACCACTGCTTGGCCAATGCAAGAGGTTTTTGCTGTTGTTGCTTTAACATTTAATTACTTTTATTTTATGTGTATGAGTGTTTTGCCTATATATGTGTATGTGTATCACACTTGTGCAGTGCCTCCATAGAGGTCAGAAGAGGGAGTTGGATGCCCTGGAACTGGAGTTACAGACAGTTGTGAGCTGCTATGGGAATTGAACCCAGGTCCTTTGAAAAACAACTAGTATTCTTAACCCCCTGCACCATTTCTCCAGCCTACATTGGTAAGACTTTTAAAGACAGGACCAAGTGTTGCATTTTAGAGTAATCATTACATTCTCTGGGTTCCATTATTTTGCTTACACAAGCGTGGGTACAAGAGTTCTCTGGAAATTTATATTCAGTGAAGACCTGAGGGTAGAAAGAAACCTGTATTGTACAAACTTAGATGTGGTTCAGGGTGAAAAGGAAGCAAAGGAAATGTTTTGGATATTAAAGAAGGCCAAGGTGACTAGGGTTTAGAGAGTCTGTGGAGAATTGAAAGAGATTGAGATCTACATTCAGGGATCTAGGAGCAGGGGTCCATTTGCTTATGTCTCCTTCCAACACCCCCTCTGGTCATTGCGAGCAATGCAGATTAGAGAGGCAAGGACAGAAGCCTATTGGGGGGCTGGGGGTGAGTGTCTCCTGCTCCCCCAGACTCAGTGGTGACTTAGGAAGAATGGAGGTGGAGAGAGAACTAGGCAGAGTCAAAACACTGAACTGAAACTGGCAGTCTCCGTGGCAGGTTGAATAGAACATGAATACTGAAGGGTGTTATATAAGAAGGACTCCTAGGGATCCCCTGTGGAGGGCCTCACCCTCCCTGGGGAATGGTATGGGGATTGGGTGGGGGGCTGGAGGGACTGGTGGAGGGGCAAGGGAGGAGGGGTGGGAGAGGGAGCTGGGATTGACATGTGAAGCAAGCATGTTTCTAATTTAAATAAAAAATATTTTGGGGAAAAGAAATGAAAAAAATGAACAACACACACACACACACCCCTGGGGCTTGCAGTCACAGCTCAGAGGTAGACTATTGTCTAGCACATGCAAGGATCTGGATTCAGACCCTATTTCTGTAAAAAACAGAGATAATGACACCCAGCTCTCTAGTCCCAGGTGATGGATAGATGGTGCTACCACTGGCAGAAATAATGAAATCTACAGGAGGAATGGACTCAGTAGGGAAGATGATGCTGTGGTATCTACTTTCAGAATCATGTAATCAAAATGGAAGCAATTTTATTCCATTGCATTAAGCAAAATGTTATAGCATAATTACAAACGTATTTTACAACAAATTGACAGTTGCATCTATTGTGAAATATATATGTATGTGCATATATGCATGCATACATACACATGCATTTATAATATTAAATAAGTCCAGATGATTCTTGGACTCCCTATGCATAAGGAATTTCAAGTGAGACAAGATCTCCATGGATCATTCAGAGGTTTTGAATTGCCTCGACTGTTCATTCGCATTTGAACCTGCTGTTCTGGACTCCTCAGATATTTCTCATGACATAAGTTTCACACTAACTGTTCTGAATTTGATAAAAACAAAGAGTCTTGCTGTGTATATATTAAAACAGGGATTTAAACCTGTGGGAAAATTGAGCAATATGAAGAAACACTTATTTTTCATAAATCATAGGAGGTCAGAGTAAAGCTTCTTACTAACCAACAGTGTCCCTAATATAAAAATTTACCCCTGGATGATATGACAGATGGGGAGCAGAGGGGGAATGGAGTGGGGGGCTGGGGACTGGTGGGGGGTGGCGAGAGAAGAGGGGAGGGAGAGGGAGCTGGGAGTGACATGTGAAGCAGGTTTGCTTCTAATTTAAATAAAAATAAATTTAAAAAAGAATTTATTGTAGATGGATGTTTACTAAGTAACTGAGCTAGAATTTGAGGAGTGGGGGAATAGAAGGAGGAGAGAGGAGAAGAGAGGACAGGAGAGGAGAAAAGCATCCTGGGTTTCCCCTCTAACAAATCCAAGGTCAGGATATAAAGGAAAATGTGCCATTTGGAAACATGATAAATACGACAAGAAGGATCTCTTCTCAGAACCCCATAAAGCAAGCTCCCTGCCTCCCCGACCTCACAGAGCCACCCCTACTATTTCTAAAGTTCTGGAGAGAGAGTGGACTCAGATGCCACCCCACACTCAGAGCACCCAGGTTTATAGCATGAACAGGGCATGATCAGAACCCGAGACACAGATCCATGCAGATGTTTGGGAAGCTTCATGTTT